ACATGTAACATAATAGTTTCTAACTTCTAACACGATAATATCTACCGTCAAAATTATGAGATAATCAAATTTAATGTATAACATATTAAATTCTAACTCCTAACACGATAATATCTAACGTCCAATTTATAACACAATCAAGTCTAATGTTAATACAAGTCTTGCACTCCGACTGGCTGGAAACCGTCTCGAGCTCGCTCTAGTCACTGGTAGAACACGGAACCTGCACGCAACTCTTACACCGGGGTTGTTTTCCGGTGAAGAGCCTCAAATGCTCAAGTCAAATATTGAGAAAGATGAAAATATATGTATGGGTGTATGAGAGTATGAGAGATTGTGTCTAAAATGGGAGTTCTCGTCCCTGTTTATAGGGGCGAGTTACCTGTTCTACACGCGCGACCTGGGCGAGTCTGGCTGGCAGCCCTTTTGCTCGTCCGTAGAACCGCGCGCCTCCACTACTTTTGGTGTCAGAAATGCGTCGAATATGTCAGATAATGTCAGAGTTCTTTATCGCCGTGGACCACTCGTAAAGCGCCGCGTGTCCTCCCTCCACGTGCTGGAGATTCTCTTGTGTATTCTGATGTTCGACCAAATCTGTAGTGGATGCTGGGCTGTCCTCGAGGTATAAGGTGCTCGAGTCCACGACCATGCTTGCTAGACCAATTTTCCTCGACGAACTCCTCGAGCAGCCGATGTCCGTCTAACACTTCTGAACCTACTCTTCTTCGTCTTTCCTCTTTCCTTCATTGTGGATGCCCGGTACGGTTCGACCAGGCCGCCGATCTATTTTATTCGGCTAACCTAATAAACTGGTCCACTATATAATATCCCATATCAAATGTATAACATAATAATTTCTAACTCCTAACATGATAATATCTAACGTCCAATTTATGAGATAATTATTTCAAATCTATAACATAATAAATTCTAATAATATTATTCTAAAATAAAAAAATAATGTCTGTCCAGTCCAACCGGTTGGACCGGCCGGTTGGTTCGTACGCGGACCGGTACGTACGCCGACCATCGCGTACGTCTAATGGTGCGTCTGAACCGATCGGCCGGTCACCATTTGGGCCATCCGATTTTGGCGGCCAGAGTGACCGGTCGCGTACACGATCGCGCGGCCGAACAACAAAAAAAATACCTCTTCGGAAGATGACACTTCACCGAAAATTGCCTGGTACAGTTTCTTCTGAGATTTTTGAGAAAATGAGAAGGGCAAAATCGTCCAAGAGGGACGGTAACTAGTAATAGGGGGCGTAAATAGTAATGCCCTTGGTTATATTCACCCATAAAGGGTCATTGGGCAGGGTGACCCTTTGTCACCCTACTTATTTATATTGATCTCTGAAATTTTAACCCATATGATTAATTCTGAGTTGTTTGTAGGGAACTTAAAAAGGATTAAACTTAGTAAAAACTGCCCCACTCTCACACACCTCTCTTTTGTTGATGACACTTTACTATTTCTTAAAGCAGATCCTCAACAGGGTTTATACCCTTCATCACATCCTCCAAAATTACCAATCCATCTCAGGTTAAAATGTTAATCTATCCAATCGTCCATTTTCTTTAGAAAAATACCCCCCAAACTCTGCAAACCCAAATCTGTCATATCTTGCTTGCCACAAACATCCTTAAAATACCTTGGACTGCCCAAAGGTATTAAAATTTCTTAGAATGCTACTTTTTCTTATGTGGAAGATGCTGTGAAAAAAAAAAGGATTTGTAAATTGAAAAAACAGGTTTTTACCTCCACGAATGGAGCCTTGTTGGACTGACCGATACTGAATAAAATTGCTCAATTATTGATTTTGACACTTATTGAATTCAATTAAAGATGTTTGATTCTTTACACATAATACCATCATATGGATATTTGATTTTATAATATATACATAAATGTTTGATGGCTTATGGTTATGGTACGAAAAGTTTGTTCCATATTAAAGTAAAGTTGACTTAGAAATGATTGGTGGTACATGGAAGGGATCATGTCGCTCGAAGACTTGTGACCACCATGACTCGGTTAATTTCTATTTTGATTTTAAACTTATAGATATATGTATTCAATAATAAGTTTGATGAAAAGTGTGCGCTTAAAGTAATTCTTTGGGTTTCGACACTATATGGTCCAAGTGGGAGAATGTAATAATATTTTATATTATTCTATTATTGTAGACCATATAATTAATTGGACCTAAATGAATTAATAGTCAAACTTAATTAAGGTGAGTATGTATTTAATAGATTATTAATGTTCTAATATTAAAGAGTCCAATTTGTGATGTTTGACTTGGACAGTAAGTTAGGTTAGAACATGAGGAATGTTAGTAGGATTAGGATTGTAGGTCTCCTCCTATATATATATATATATATATATATATATATATATATATATATATACTACATGCCCCTCTCTCCCATCTCATACGAAAATAGAGTTCTCAACATAAGGGGCTTTATGAAAAGACGAGAGACGCGAGAGAGAGAAGCGCACAATTGGAGATTACAGGAAAGAGGATCACGGAAATGAATCATAGATCAACCGTAGATCAAGAAAACAATGAAGGACTATAGTTGGATGCTTGTAAATTTTATGTACAATTTGATTAATGCAAAGATCTATATTCTATTAACTAATAGAATTACATGTCTAGGGTTTAATCAATTCCGCCTAATAGTTATGAATATACCCGTTAAATTTCTTACATTCCAAACCTGACAGATTTCAAACCAGTGGGCGGCTATCCAAGAAATAATAATCTCATATGGGTTAAGGACCTCATGGACTCTTCAGGTTGAAGATGGAGCAGAACACTGAAGAATACTTCACTACTGAGGAAACATCTGCAATAATGGCCATCTCAGGATTGGATCCACACAGACAAGACATGTTGAGTTGGGCTTGGAATAATTAAGGTAACCACTCTCTAGCCTCAACTTATTCTACTCTGATTGAGCATAACTGTAGAAAAATAGACATTGCAGGAACCATCTCTCACCAGGTTGAGTTGAAGATAGTCAGAAGAAGAACTTAGAATTTAAACATCCAAAAACTAAAACATTTTATATGGAAAAGAATGAATAACATTCTTCATGTCTTAGTGAATAAAACATTTTCTATGGAAAACAATGAATAACATTCTTCATGTCTCAATGAATCTTAAGATAAATGGTTTGAAATTGGATCGGAGATGGAAGTTCTATGGGGAAGAGGAGGAATCCCAAGAGCATTTGTTATTTCAGTGTTCAAGAGCCAGATTGATTTGGAAGTTCTCATCAGTCTCTTGGGATGAGCTCAAGGCATACTCACTTACCTTCGAAACTTGGTGGAGCTCAATATGCACAATTCCTATCAAACCTGCAGTTGATGACAGAATCCACTTCTCAAGCTACTTATTATGATGGATATAGAAGACTCAGAACCTTTGGGTATTGCAGCACACCTATAGGACAAAAAGAGACACAGTGAGGCTGACTCTGAAGAATTGGCAGCTCCACTCAGTATATTTATAAGGGTTTAGTTCTCTTTGTCTAGTTATCTTTGGTTGGTTTGCTTGTATATAATTTTGATTTCCTGCTTTGTTGGTTTTATATTTTATATCCTTCTCGTATGTTTTGTTAACTTACTAGGTCCCATGAGGGTATAATGGTAAGTTAATTTTGTAGACGTTTAGTTGTCGCATTTAGAGTAAGATGTCCAACTTTCTAGTTCTTAGATTTTGCCTAAGCTAGGGGTTTGCTCTTTCTCTTTTAAATCAAGACTATGCTTAGTCTTTAGTTTCATGTTTGGGCCGTAATGGGCTATTTGGCCGCAAAAATTGTGAATTATTTTGAGCTACAAATCCTGTTGTTTGGGGAAAGAAAATGATTACTGGATTAGAAATTTAGAGCAAATCATGTGTGCGTTTTTAAGGTGTAACCCACCACAAATGCGTCACAATAGAAGTGAACTGAGTAAAATAAGAAGAGAAAGTCAGTCCCGCTCACCTGTCCACGGCGGACAGTGTCCATCACTTTTTTTACATGAAAAACGTATTTTGAGAATACGTTTTTCAATTAAATTAATTGAAAAACGTATTCTCAGAATACGATTTTCATGTAAAAAAAAGTGGTAGGCACTGCCCGCCGTGGGCAGGTGAGCAAAACCATAAAGAAAGTTAACGATAAAAAAAATTAATAAATAAATAAAATGAAAAATAAAAATAGAGAAAGTTTGGCTCTTTCGCGTTTCGCTTTGATCAAGTTAAATAATTGAACTAAAGATCTATCCGCAATGTAACCAAAAAAAAAAAAGAAAAAGAAAAAGAAAAAGATCTATCCGAATTTGTGATTCTCGACGGTTGCGAACTCTACACTCCAGCCCCCTCTCCCTCTCTCCACACATTCACAATTCTTGACATCTCTCTCCAATTATATTTATGTCATGCGCCAAAATTGGCGATTGATGTGCATCACTCCCCTTCGTTGTTAATTCGAGTCCCCTTTGTTTTATTCGCATCAATCATCTTCTTCTGTACTGTACGTATTCTTTATTTTTTCAGCCTCACACAAGAAGAAAGTGACTACTGTCTGTAATTCCTTGTATGGCAAAAACAATCGGTCATAGTTCTGCAGTATTTAATATAGTTCTGGCCTCTTTTATTCTGTCGTTTTCCGTCAACAAGTTTCTGCATAAATCATTGGACTTCCTTTAATACCATCAAAACTATTTCCTGGTTAGTTCTGTTCTTGATTTTCCTCTGTGTGTGCGTGGGACTTGTGTAGTTTAATGGGTTGAAACTGGAAAAAAGGAAGAAAAGGGTCTTGAATCAGTTGAGCTTTCAAGAAGCTGAAAGCCAACACATGGGCTTGGGACTATTACCCTTTGCTCGTAAAGTTTCAATCTTTGAGGGTAAGTTGCTGAATTTGATATGGAACCACAACTGGAATTCATTGAAAATTCGTTTCACTTGAGATACACACAGTTAGTATATGAGGCTCTAAATGAGATGCCGGATAGCTTTACCATAACCGATCCTTGCATTTCTGGCCACCCAATTGTGTTCGCCTCAAATGGGTTCTTGAAAATGGTTGGTTATTCAAAACAAGAGGTGGTTGGCAGAAATGGGAGGATATTTCAGGGACCAGAGACCGATCGAAGGTCAGTTATGGAGATTCGAGAGGCTGTTCGTGGGGAGAGGGCCCTGCAGCTGAGCTTGTTGAATTACAAGAAAGACGGGACTCCATTTTGGATGTTGTTTCAAATGTGTCCTGTTTTTAGCAAGGAGGATGACAGGGTGATTAATTTTGTTGCGGTTCAAGTGCCGATTGCGAGGAAAACAAGGTTATCCGGACATGGGGTCTTTAGGAGTGAGATAAGTTTGTTTGAAGAAGGAGCTGGAATACGGGATGTCGTTATGGGCTGCTGTAGGAGGGAAGTTTGCTGGGAGCTAAGGCATGTGTCCTCGCCTGAGTTGGTGTCGAGTAGTGATTATAGAGGTTTGTTTAATTATTTGCAATCTACTTCTTTTTTTCTCTTTTTGTGCATTTGATGAATGATACGTTATTTATTATTGATATTCATGTGTTTGTTTAGTCTTGATGGTGCATATATGTGGAAATTTTATGGTCGATTTTCATTACCCTTTTAGTATTCTGCTATAAGGAGTTGAACTAATAGATGATGCAGAATATATTGCTTTATTGCCTAAAGCTGCGTTTGGGTTGGAGGATTTGCCTTTGAGGAGAGGTTTGGAATGTACTCAGTTGAGTTGGATATGACTGAAAATAACTTCAAATTGGATAGTATGGATTTAAATCATCTTGTTATGAATGGGCACGGATTCAAAGTTCTTAGTTTCAAACAATTACATACAAAACTGTCACTAAACAAGATGATAATTATCGTTGCACAACATGAATACTGAAAACAGAGTGTAATGGGATTTTGCAGTCACAATACTTGTTGGGCAATTGTCTGTGTTACAATGTATCTTGGGTTCAATAGTATTGTTCTTTATGATCTGTTGATCCATGAGCTTGTAGTTGTCAACTGATTTCGGGAGTGCATGCAAGCACTTGAAGAGATGCCCTTTCTTCAGATTCTAACGGGACCTTAAATTCATTTTACCCCCTAAAAACTAAGGATTCATAATATTAGTTTAGTTTATGCATCAGCCTAGGAGCTAATAATTGCCTTTTTCTTCCTCTCTATCTTTCGTTTTCTTCTTTGATGTTTCGGAGAAGTCGCTTAATATTAATGCATTTTACAGATTTCCAGCCGCAGAAATTAAAATAAAAAAAATAGAAAAAAAAATATCAGCGGCTTGCACTCTAAATTTATGAATGTAATAATTTTTTCAGAAGTTGAGATTAATGAGCCATGCACCGCAAGTGAGGTAGAGAAGGCAAAAGCCAGTGCTGCGATTAGAAACATTTTGTCCGTGCTAACACACTACAGTGAGTTGACAGGCAGGCACGTGTCTGGAATAAGGCGCTACCTAACAGGGAATGAGCGCCTTGTCGCATCCTTAAATATATCTCTTGGTAGAATCAAACAAAGCTTTGTATTGTGAGTTTGTTCATATTTCAAGATCTTTATAATTTCAGTTTATATTCATCTATGTAGTTGGAAACCTGCTTAATAAACTGCTATTTTTCTTCGCAAGACAGAACTGATGCTCTCTTGCCCGATATGCCTATATCTTACGCGAGTGAGGAGTTTTTGAAGCTGACAGGTACTGTTTTTGTTTTGTTCAAATATGTGTTTTTAACTTGGGATGAAAAATTCTGCGGTTCAATGTAAGTATTGGTACTTATATGCTCAAAATATGGTTGTTAATGATTTTAAACTTCTTTTTCCACTCTCTCTCTCTCTCTCTCTCCCTCTCTCTCTCTCTCTCTCTCTCTCTCTCTCTCTTTCTTTCTTTCTCTCTCTTTTCTGGGTGTGGTTAGGCTATGGTAGGCATGAAGTACTTGGGCAGAACTGCCGATTTTTGAGTGGGATAGATACAGACCCCACAACGCAATTCCAGGTGAGGTAGCATTCTTTTGTATTTCAGATTTTGATCTTAATATATTTATCTCAAAGATGGATGTTGGGTGGTGTTTGTTAATTGGTTAACTTTTCATTAGTAATTTATTTTGTACACACCACCCTATTCCAGCCCTCAATAAAGAGAGGAAAGATGAAACCATAGAAAATTAATGATAATGTAAATTTTGCTTTATATATGTAGATAAAGGACTGCATTGAGAACCAGCAAGCTTGTACAGTACGTATCCTAAATTACAGGTTGATGACTAATTGCTTGCTACTGATAATTTCTTTATAATTTCTTCTCTCTTTGACACCTTACGTTCTTGTCGTGCTTCCAGAAAAGATAAAACTTCATTTTGGAATTTTCTTCACATTTCACCTGTGCGGAATGCTTCAGGAAAGGTAATTATGTTTGCATGTAAAGCTTCCCTTAAAATAATTTCATGCTTGAATAAGACTTTTCTAGTTCTTCATGTTTGTCTTTTATTGTTGTTAATTACTATTTCTAATAGGAGCTGCCCGTTTGTGCGCCTTTTTGTTTATTGGATACGAATTAATCTCTGTTGACATGCCTGTAAGTGTTATAAGATGCATTCGCTCACCACAAAAGATTTTCTATGAATATTACTGCTGCATGTCTCAGAAAATATTGCTGTCTCGGTCAAGTGCACTGATTATGTAAATTTACTGGAGACCAAGGGCCTGGCCTTAGTTATGTTCATCAGCAGGAAATGCTTAGAAATTTAAATTACATTATCCACTGCTCAGACAAATGACGTGAATGAAAATGGTTTCAGAAGTAAGTTATCTTATCAATTAGTCTGTGTCCCAAGTTACTCACGCTCTTCTCTTGGGTCTACCCCAAGTGATCCAGACATTAGTTCTATCCTACATATTAATACACTAAAGATTTCTTTTCATCTACTCTATGATAATTATTTATATCTTATCCATAACTAGGAGAGTTGTTTCTTGAAAAAATTGGATTGCAAAGAATACCTGCAATATAATTAATTTATAAGGTCACTATTGTAATTTTATCACCAAGGAGTTACAATTATTAACATTCATTTTTCATTAAAATTTTGTCATTCTTCTTTATTTTTACACTTTGTTTTATCTATGATCTTATTCAACCTTTATAATGCGGTTATGTATTCAATAATTTTAGCATATAAAGACGGTATGATTATCTAAGCAAATATAAAAATTTAAAACAAATAAATAGAATAAATTTTTAAAAATTGTTACGCCTCACTTCTTTGAAAGAAATAAAAAAGTAATGAATGAAAAGTAATTATTATTACCAATATTATAATACCTAGGGCCTTAACATGATAGCAAATTGGGAAAGCTTAAGAATAAACCAATCTTGATCCTATATTAATGAGTCAAACTATTGAGAATTATATTAAAAAATTCTCTTGTTGAATCGAGTCCACCTCGTTAACGAAATGAACTTTAGAGAGTCAATCAGAGTAACCATTGTCGAATATAGTTTTGAGAGAAAAATTCTTTTATCTATCTATATTGAGTTGATAATTGATAATTATAGATAAAATGATTAAGCTATTCAGATAGGCACAAGTTCAAGTCCTAAGCTTAATCAAGTGGTTTGTGAATAAATGGACCGTATCACTATTGAGTTTTATGCTAAAGGTTTGTTTGTTTTGTCTATATAACTGTAATTCATATTTTGAGTTTGCTAAGATTTATTTATGTCAATATATGAAGTTCCACAAGCCAAAACTTACGAAAAACTGAAATTTTCCTTTGTTATTCTTGCAACATAAGGTCTTATTAAATAGCTATATTCAAATCTTCGTTGGGAAGAAAAACCTCACTACATAAAGCTTATGGTTAGTGGATATAATTAGGTGACGGAAGCAAATCTCACCACATAGAAGAAGGCATTGCCATAAATATACTCTCTCATCGCCCCTATATAATTCTCGAATGTGCTGAGGCTGAATGACAGGCTCGCCTTCTTCGGGAGTTTATTTGGCACAAGTATGTGCTTCATATTGACACATGTACAGGTTTGGTTTAAGAACTAGGTTCGGGAAGTACCATAAATTATCTTACCTTTCCTTTTCTTAAATTACCATATATTACTTTTCCTTTTTATTAGTTACCATACACTACATTTCATTTTCTTATTTATTTCATATATTAATTATTGTAATATTTATTCTCTTTATATTAAAAAATCTAACTTTTTTATTTGTATATATATATATTTTTTTCATATGTGATAAATCAAAATACCATCTTTAACAGTTTTTTATTTGATATCCATATTGCATATATAATATAAAATAATTTCACATGTCTTCATAAATAAAATTTAAATTTATTTATCACACCAAATGAGAAATATTAAAATAAAACTATAGTCCATAAAAAAAAAATTAAATTTATGCCATAAACAACCATTTTAGTATATTGTTTTTATAGATCCGGAAAAAAAGTAGAATTAAAGTATCAATAAAATAAAAATTATGCTCACTGTAAGACACAATCAAAAGATAGTAAGAAGTAAAAACATTAACAACTTTAGTTAGCTTTGAATTAAGATGAAACAATATATATTTAAAAAAGCACATTTATACCATATGTAAAATTGAAGGTGAATTCAAATATATTTATTCAAAATCTGTTTTCTTAATAAGTTATAAATAAAATATTATTTCTATGAACAGAATATATATCTTTTCTTAAGAAAAATAATTGAAATAAAATTTTACATTTGTGCAATGATGATTTTTGGCTTCACATAAATATAACAAAGATAAAAGTAATAGAAAAACTACAGAAGGAAGATATAAAACTATTACATCAATAAAAAGATGATCATGATTTCGCACATTGGTTAAGACAACACTAACTAAAAGTAAAAAATGAGACTTCATGAGCAATCAACAATCACTTAAAATGATTGGTTTCATTTTATTTTTTTGTTGTCAATATAGAATTCCCTATCGTTGCGAAGAAAAAAAAAAAAGAAGATTGGTTTCATCTTTGGTTTATTACATAGTTTTTCAACTGACCGACTTGGTTGGTCAATCCGACACCCGGTCGACCTGGAGCTGGGACCGGGCTGGGTGGGCACTTTGGACTGGGTGACTTTCCACCTGGTCACATCAGTCAACTCGACCTTGACCCTAGCATCGACTTGGCCAGGTCAACCCAGTTTGACCCGATCCCTATATTTTTTTATTTCTTTATACATTTTTTGTTCTATAAATAATTGAATAAATAATTATATGTAAATATTTATTATAAGATGCAACATTTATGCACAAAATGTTTATTTCTATTACTTTATTGTATATATGTTAGATAAAAAAACCATATATATAATTTTACAATATAAACTTAATTATCTGGTTCAACAATTGACTCGGTGACCCGACGATTGAACCGGTGATCCGGATGCTTGCCCGGGCCGATTCCTTCATGGGTTTAGAAATTATGATTTTTGTCACAAATTTATTTATTTACTTAAAACTTATATATTTACTTTTTAAGCATAACTTTTAGCTAATACCATTAAAGATTATGTTTCTGTGCCAATATATTTGTATAATTTATTATATAATATGTGTTTCTTCTTTAATTAAACAAATGAAAAAATTTGAAGATTTTAAGCATAATTTCAATAAAAATATAACTTTTAAATCCAAAAAATATTAATAAATGCACGTGCAACTTCCTAGTTTATGTTAAACTTGGTTCTATTTCTATTGATGAGTCACTTTTTGTTGAACTCCCAAATTTGTCTGGCACCTGACCTCAAACCAGTTGACATAGCTGAACAAATTAGTTGGTAACAAGAAACCTTTTTTTTTTTT